ACAAGAAATAAGAGACCATGATAAATGAAGACCACATGAGAATAGGAAGAAGCAAAGTGCTAAAGAGACCCACAGAAATCCGCAAAGATACCCCCACAATAGACTGCTGGCAATGGTAGAGAGACAGCTGGGACTGACCTACTCTGGTGATGGGATAGCCAAACACCCTAATAGTCGTGCCAGAAACCCCATCCAAGGACTGAGAAATCTGGATGCAGACATCCACGGCTAGGCCCCAGGTGGAGCTCCAGTAGTCCAATTAGTGAGAAAGAGGAGGGTTTATATGAGCGAGAATTGTTGAAATCAAGGTTGGATAAAGCACAGGGACAAATACCCAAATGAATGGAAACACATGAACTATGAACCAAAGGCTGAGGGGCCCCCAACTGGATCAGGCCCTCTGAATAGGTGAGACAGTTGATTGGCTTGATCTGTTTGGGAGGCATCTAGGCAGTGGTACCAGGTCCTGGGCTCATTGCATGAGTTAGCTGTTTGAAACCTGGGACTTATGCAGGGACGCTTGTCTCAGTCTGGGAGGAGGGGACTGGACCTGCCTGGACTGAGTCTACCAGGTCGATCTCAGTCCTCGGGGGAGGCTTTGTCCTGGAGAAGGTGGGAATGGGGGATGGGTTGGAGAGAGGGGAGGGGGGCAGGAGGGGGGCGAACAAGGGAATCAGTGGCTGATATGTAGAACTGAATGGTATTGTAAAATAAAATAAAAGGCAAAAGCAAAAAGGCAAGGTTCTTGCCTGAAAGGTGATAACTCTGAGATGTAACTTACATGCCAAAAATAAATAAAGAAATAAATAAAGTTATAGGACTGAAATTGTATGGGTGGATCTTCTAACATAACTAGGCAACATGTGGGAATCCCTTTACTACAAAAACTAATGAACTGAATGCAAGTGCGGAGGGGAAAATGTGGGGTTTTTTTTATAAAGCATGGCATCCCCATGCAACTCTTCCTGCAAAGCTTAGATTAGAATATTTAGGCTTTGATCCACAAATGTGGCTGGTGGTATAGATCTCTAAGTTATGCTCAAACATTTATGACTTGCATGGCTAAGGGGATTATTGTAAACTTATAGTTCACTTCCTGTTGGGCTTGTAGCTGTAAAGGATTTCTGGATAGTAAGAAGAAGGCAGAGACTAATCTGGCTTCGTCATTTTGAAAGAACCTAATTTATCATTATCCCAACCAGCATTTAACAAAATACTAACAAGTGAATCCATGAACTTGTACAATATAAGATATACAATGTAAGATATACAATGACCAATTGAGATCAGTGATTTGTGATTCCACTTTGTCAATCAATATATACATATTGTAACAAAGTATACAACATCATGTAATCATGTCCATAGTTTTTCACTTTTTTCTCTAGACTTGTGTATTTTATATTATGTGCTAGTGGAACTTCGTGTAAATCTCTGGAGTTTGCTTCTGAATCTGAAAGAGCGGGGAGGGGTATGTAGGAGGACTTGAAGTGAGAAATGGAAGGCAGAAATGTAATAATTAAAGTATAAAATTAAAAATTAAATAAAAGAAAACACAATAAAAATACCTATAATATGACAAGTGATTTTTCATGAATTCATTTGGTAAATATTTAATTTCCCAGATATTTCTGGGTTACTTTCCTAAATTTTGGATAGTAATACCTCTTGCTCCTTAGGTACTCATGATAATCAGAAACTCTCGTTGGCTGTAATGTAGAAAATATTCACCAAATGATACTTGTTAGACTAGCAAGTTTGTGTACTTACAATATGCATATCTATATCTATTGATACACCTGACTCTTCATATAGCTTAATCCTTCAATTTTTGTGAAATCTTTTTTTTCTATTCATCTAGTGAACCAGAATGTATTTTGATTTCATGAAACTATGTACACAAGAAATCATGGATGAATATAAGAAACTCTTAATAATTCAGATTGCTTTTATTTAACAGCTAGTGTTTTGACAAAAATTAATAAAGTATAAAAAGAAAATACCTGTGATTTAATGTTATTTTGCAAAGGTTACTTTCCTGTCAGAACTCAGTTTCCACATTTGAAAAGAACATGAATTCTAAGGAGTGCTTTTATCAAGTAATGTGAGTATTTATATAATATACAAATGGATCTTAAAACTTACTGCGCACAAGGTTGAGAGATTAAAAACATATCTCCTTCTGTCCCCCTTTTTTAGAAGAGTTACCAACACCAATATCCATGCTATTATTCAGTGTTACACATTGCTGTTAGCAGTTCATGTGTCTTCTAGGTAGAATGAAAGCTAAAATTGTATGGCTAATTAGTCTTCTGTTTTAAAGTAGTTGTTTTAGATAATCTTAGCTGTGGTCAATGAAAAAACAGCTCTGACCTCAAAAGAATAAAAGAGATGGTTTATTCTAGAGCAAAATATGAGTAACCATAGCCCAATAACACAGATTTAGGTTTCCCCAAACCTCATGATACAAAGAGCAAGCAGTTTCATAAAAAAATTTAGAGTAAAAGAACAAAGAAAGCCATAAATTAACATGATTTTCAAATGAATTTATGGGTACATAGTTAGGTGGGTCACAGCAAAGTAGAAGTAGGTGTTCTATACTCTAGACCTTAGATGATAGATGACACCATTTTTAGCTTTTTAGTTAGTAGATACTTGGGGTCTGCTAAGACATTGAAAAGGATTTACCTAATGGTCAGAAAAGTGGCCAGGAAGTTGATAAGCAGATCCTAAGCAGACTAACTATACCCCAGAGTAATTTAGCTCTAGACACGCACTGTCCCAATCTCTCTACATCATTGAAGTTCTAATCAGCCTCTTTAGTCACAGTTTCTTTCCAGAAATTCTCATGCACAGGAGGATGGCCTGTTTAAGTAGACTTTAGGAGAAACCGGTGCAAACATACAAGTTTCCAGAAAGGGAAAGGATAAGAAATGCAACACACAACTATTTCAAAATGGATGGGAACAGGAAATCATCATTGCCTTAAGCGAAAAGTCAAAAGTATGATTTCAAAACTTCATACTCTATATTCTCTAAAATTTCCTTACAATAATATGAGGGTTTTTTAGGTAAAACAGTAAGCAGCATAGAAAGAGTTCCTAATGCGTTCTTTGTGTTTTACTGGGGAGAGAAACAATAGCAATGCGAAACAAATGAAATATTGCCGTTAGTTACATATGTCAGAGATCCAAAGGCAGAAAGATGAGCTGAAAAAGTGTGATGTGAGTGTGCATGAACAGTGTTTAATAGCATGATTATGAAATGTGTTCTTCTGACTTTTAGTATTAAAGCCTTAGATATAGGAAGGTATAGTTACAAAGTGTTGAATAAAAGAGTGGGAGATGATCCAGTGTTTAAAAGTATTTGCTGCTCCCCCAGGTGACCCAAGTTAGGTTCCCATCACCCACCTTGGGATGCTACCAAACACTTGTAGCTACAGTTCCAAGAATTCTGAGCCCTCTCCTGCCCTTGCTCTCTGATTAATGACAGACATACGACATACATTAGCACAGACATATACACATAAATAATTATTTCAATATTGAGCAAGACAACAAACATACAGTTATCAGCTTTTGGAATACCTTTAATAAGCTGAGTGAGAATTTGTTTTTGTCTTATTTATATCAAATATAAAACAATTGCAATAGAAAATTGCTATTCTCAAGGTGCTGAGGGATGAAAGTTGATACAACCTGTGATGAGGAAAATAAAAACAGTCACTCTTTCTAAATATTCTGTTTTTTCTAAACAATAATTTGAAACTTCCATTATTTGTAATTCCTTTGGAGCCCTTATTAAGTAACTAGGTAAAATAGAATGGCATAGAGAGCCTTGACATCCCCAGCATCCACTGATGTCAGTACTAGCTCACTCATCGCATTTCATATGTTCTGCTTTCCTGACTATTCACTATCTTATCCTTGGTCCAAAGGATTAAGGAAACCAAAATATTTATTTGTTGCATGAGCAGCAAATTATACTACCACCTTCTTTATTTTATTTAATAAAAGCTCTTTTATAAGTAAGAATTATGACTACCATTGCAAACTGAATGGGAAAAACCTACACTGCCTCAAACCTACAGAAAGAACTCAACAGGGTATATTTAGGAATATATATGTATATACAAACACATACAAGTATGCAATAACAATGAAAACAGAGGCCAGGAATTTGAAGGAGAGGGGGTAAGGGCATATGGTAATATTTGGAGGGAGGAAAGAGAATAAAGAAACATTGTAATTAAGTTATAATCTCAAAAATAAACAAAAACAAAGAAAGAATTTTATGAGAAGGAACGGTAAAGCTACACCCTGCATGTAAACAGAGTATCCAGCGCCACAAATAAACTGCTGATTTGACTTTTCATGGACTTTTGCTTGTGCTGAGGATTCCACAGCCAAATAAATAGTGAACAAGCCAATGGAGCCAGCCTTCCATTCACAGAAACTTCCTGATTGCAGCCTCCAAGCTTTTATTCATTACTCCAGGTCTGAGACCATCAGACGTTTACGCTGTGCCACACTAGAACCATGATTCATCTGCAGGAGACCTGAATTAGGTCCTATCCAGAGGCACTTGGCTATTTTTCATTTTTACTAAACAGTTGCTTTGGTTTCAAATCACAAGAATGTTGCCAAAGCCATTTGTTTGATTTGCTCTTACTTCTTTTGTAGCAACTGCTAAACCGTGAAATGAAAATATATTCCATGCAGACATTTGATGATAATTAAATAATTATGTCAGTGATAGTGGAGAAACTATATATAGGAAGATCATCCTAAGGCAAGAAAAGGAAAAGAAAGTTCAGAAAAATATCATTCTTCCTGGTAGAGAAATTTATTAGTAACTTAACCTTTAGTGATTTGCTCTTGGTATTCAAGTCCTAACCATTTGTAAAATGAGGCACTGGTAATACATATGTTCTTTGTCACACAAAATAAAAACCTTTTGTAGGAAATGTGATTTTAAAGTAATAGTTTCTGATACTTTCTCTAGCATTTCTCAAGTAAGGAGGCTACTTTCTGTAGTATTTTCTTCAGAGAACTTTTTACTTCCTTATTCCTCAAGCTATAGATCAAAGGATTCAGCATGGGGATAACCAAGTTGTTAAAGACTTGAATGGCTGCGTCTAAACAAGGGCTCGTGGTTGGCCTTAGGTATATGAGGACCACAGGCATAAAGTAAAGCAGTATGGCAGTGAGGTGGGCACTGCAGGTGGAGAAGGCTTTGTGTCTGCCTTCAGCAGAGCGGATTTTCAGGATGGAATAGACAATACAGCTGTAGGAGGTGAGGATGAGGAAGAAGCAGCTGAGAGGCATGAGACCTACACTGATGAACCCCACCATCTCCTGGGCAGATGTGTCTGAACAAGCCAGCTTCAGCAACACAAGCATATCACAGAAAGAATAGGCCACCTCATTGGGACCACAGTAGGGCAACTGGAAGGTGACAGTGGTTAAAAACGTAGCCTGAATGCAGGCAGAAAATAATGTCCCCAAAGCAAGGATGGCACACACTCTGTGGTTCATGATTATTTGGTACCATAGAGGGTAGCATATGGCCACAAAGCGGTCATAGGCCATCACTGTGTACAGAAAACCTTCAGTACAACCCAGGAAATGGTAGAAGAAGAGCTGGCACACACAACCTGCATAGGAGATGGCCCGGCTATTTCCAGAGAGGTAGTACAGCATCTTGGGAGAAGTCACTGAAGGGAAAAATATGTCACACGCGGACAGCTGACACAGGAAGAAGTACATGGGGGTGTGAAGCTGAGTGGAGGAGACAATTGCAAGAAGTATGAGTGGGTTCCCCACCAGAGCAAAGATGTAGAAAGAAAAAAACAGAACAAAGAGCATGGTCTCCAGACCCTCTGTGTGTGGGATGCCCATCAGGATAAACTGAGTCACCACTGAGAGATTCCTCATTGTTTTGAGAATATCTGATTTCAAAACAGAACACAGACCAAGCTCCCCAGGACATGAACCCTGAAGTCAAACCGACATGCTCTTTGGTGGAAGAGTGTTTTTCGATTTTGCACAATTGATCTTCTTTAATGGGTCAGATCTACATGAAACATAAAGAAAATAAAGTTTTAGATTATAATTTAGAATTAAGTGCTTTTAGAAAGTTAAATATAGGTCAGATCTGGATTTACATACAAAACAAAAATCATTTTCCTAAGGCCTCTGAAGTAAGCAGACAATATAAAATCTGTAAAAATCCCATACACACAAAAATATCTGCTTTTGCCATCCACTGTACTCTTGTTTTTTTGTTTTGGTTTTGGTTTTGTGTTTGTTTTGAGATGAACATTCTAATCAGTTATGTCATGGCTCCTCAGGATAATGACATGCTAATACTTAAGTGATTCTTGATTACACAGGTCTTACTTTCTAAAGTATAAAGGATTCCTCTTTTTCTCCCATGCCCTTCCCTGTTGGAAACTATCTCTTCTTTTCCTTCTCTTCCTCCTGCTTCCCACAGCTGTGCTACAAAAACAGAAACAGGTTTGGGAAAATGAGAATGCAACATAAAAACAAAATATATTTGTAGAGAATCTTTTTGCAGACAATGCCTGCAATGATGTATCTGCCCTGGTGTGTGTGTGTGTGTGTGTGTGTGTGTGTGTGTGTGTGTGTGTGTGTGTGTGTGTGTGTGAATGTAGACAAAGGAACCGTGCAAATGAACAAAGCTGGTTCATTTTATGAAGCATACATGTGTAAAAGTGTTATTACAAAACTTTGGAGAATTTTAGTATCAGCTACAACTCATGATAATTTCCCCGTGGACTATTTGAAGGAAAAAACACAATGCAAGATGTTAAAAAACCTTTGAAACTGATCTAGAATCATTGTCTATAGAAGGCAGGAAAGGAACTGTTTGCTTGATTCTAATTGGATTGATTGATACAGGCAAGCAAATACAAGTTATTGTATTCCTCAAAGTCTATAATATAACATAAATAGTCTTGAGTGTATAGATGCTTTTTGTTTTCTTTTGAGACAGGGTTTCTCTGTGTAGTTTTGGAGCCTGTCCTGGATCTCGCTCTGTAGACCAGGCTGGCCTCAAACTCAACAAGATCTGCCTGGCTCTGCCTCCCAAGTACTGAGATTAAAGATGTGTGCCACCACTGCCTGGTGTATAGATGCTTTTTAATGTACAAAACAAATAAATGAGAAAATGCTATCAAATCTGGGGAAAAGAAGCAACTTTGAGATTATCTAGTTGTTAGAATTATTAAAGATATTAAAACCTTGGTGTTCCTTGAGGTTTAAAAATACAAATTTGAATTGACTGGAAGGATAGATATTCCCTGTAGAGACACATAAAGTATTAAAACATAAGTGTAAAAATTATTTGGTGCTAAAATATGATACTTAGCAAAGAAAAACTTTAATAATACGCTAGGAACCTTATCCATTGCAAGAAAGAGGGAAAGAAGGCAAGAGACTAAATAGAAAGGAATAAAACAGTTTGCATATTAATAAATAAAGTGCAAAGACTGAACAAATTTTAGAAAAAAATAAAAACAATTAGATGAGTAGATACAAAACCAAAAGACATACATTTCTTGCATTTCAGATCAGCAAATAAAAGAAAGATATTCAATTAAACAATGATATTTATTATACCAAAAAATGTATTCTGTGAAACATAATTAAATACCCTTTCAATGTATACTACAGTTTTCAGTTAGTAATTTTATGGGACTCCTCAATGTATGAATGAATGGGTCTTTGATTCTTGTGCCTGTTTCGGGGGATCTTTTATTTTTCTGTTGTCTTGTCTTGTCCAACTTCAATAAACTGTTTTTCATTTTATTTTACTTTGTTATTTTTTGCTGTTATCACTTAGAGCCTGTTCTTTTCCAATGAGAGACAGAAAGGGAGTGAAGAGGAGGTAGGGAGAACCATGGAGAAGAAGAGGGAGGGGAAACTATTCAGATTATATTATTAGAGAAAAGAATCTATGGTTAGTTAAAAAGAAAAATATGTGCAGGATCATCATATTTTAAACAAAATATTGGTCAAAAAACAAATGGATTTGTGAGTGGAAGAGAGGCTGTATTCAAAGGTTGAAAAACTCAACTTAAAAAAGAAATCAGTTTTTCTTTAACTAATATAAAATTAGTATAATTTTTAATTATCTTTAAAAATGCTAATGTCAAGCTGATCCTATTATTTGCACTAAAAATAAAATATTATAAAGTGAAAAGAACTTTACAAAACAAAGGTTTTTAAGGCTCACATTACCAGATTTTAATACTACTGTGGTGCCATATAAATTGGGATCACATACCATTGGTGAAAGCAGAGGGAGAACAGAATAAAGTTCAGGAACATACGTACAAATACATGGTTATTTGACATTTAACAAACTAGCAAAAAATATAAATGAAGAATTGTCTTTTCAACATCAATTCTAGAATAATTAAATATCCATACAAACAAATAATCAAAAAGTCAATCATCATAGATTCATAACTAACAGCTTATATAAATGTGTGTGTGTGTGTGTGTGTGTGTGTGTGTGTGTGTGTATACATGGATCAAGTACATATAATGTATCATGTAAAACATCAAATTCTAACATAAAATTCATCTGAATTCTAACAGAATCATTTTTTGTGAACTTGGTTTGTCATACAATCATACTTGTAATCTATGATTTTCTCTTAATATTGTTGTTTGAATTAACTTAAAATTAAAGTATTTTTTCAAAGTCAAGAAAGATAGCAAAAGAATTCAGAACTATTAAAAACACAGGAGACTAAAGACAGAAAGCAGTAAAATGTAATAGAATAGTGATGCAGGCTTCTGGCACAAAAATAAAACAGTAGTTGGCAAATCAATGAAGTTAAAATAAGATCATTAGGCAATAATAAATGTCATTGGTATGTTAAATGAATAAAAAAGTAAGTAAAAACATTAAAAATGTGGCACTAATAGTTACTAAGCTTTAAATGAAAGAATTAAAATTGTTTGATATATTTCAAACATCATTAAGGGATTTGTGGTACTGTATATTTGGAACTGATTCAATGTTAAAAATTAAAACAAAATATTTGCCAACAAGAAAATGAAAAAAAGTAGTTCATAGTGAATAAAATAATTTGCATATCCAACATTTATAGAAAAAAAACATTTATAGTATTTTTAACTTGATAAAAATCAAGTAATTCCTTAGCTGCTTCAAGAAAACTTGAAAACTACCTTTAACATGTACATTACCAAGTAAGACACAGGGATGTAAATAAATACTGTAGAAGGCATCCATTATTGTTACCAAAGAAGTGCAAATAAAACCATAGTTAGATACTGCTGTGCACCTGCTATGAAGGGATAAACTACAAAGTGAAGAAACCAGGTGTCACAAAAGGTAGGCTGCCACTTCTACAGGTTTACATGAGAGTGATGGCAATTTACTCTGTTTGTAAGGAGAAACTATTCAATCTTGAATCTTGATCCTCACATGTATGAGTGAGGGCTTCACCATTAAGCTGAATTTATTTTGACATTTGTTTTGACATCAAAACATATGCCTAAGAAAATTAGTCTCCAAAAAAAATCCCCTCCCAAAAAAAACCCCTGAAAATCTAGGAAATTTCTTCTTTTAGGTGTCAGCACTTCAGTGAAGAAAGGACAAAAGGCTTTAGAGAAAAGAGAAAAAAATAAAAATAAAAACGCTTACTTTTCCACCAGGACTATGGTAGTTTTTTTCTCCAAAAATTGAGGACACACCCAGGTTCTTAGACAAGAAGTTTTGCTGTTAACTACATCTCAAGCCTCAGTGTTCAGGACAGGCTGTTACCAGCATGCTGGTCTTGACTTTAGTGTGGAGCCCTCCTGGGTGTCCTATCCACAATATTTCTGAGAATATGCTGGAATTGCAGATGTGGGCTGACTTGTATAGCATAGGATTTTCCAGTGTTCTAAAGATGACTAAGTTACATTCTTTGCTTCTTAGAAGAGTTGAGAGCACTTCATTCTCAGGAGCTGAGAATCGATGTTTGCATAAGATATCCATGTGCATACTACCAGATTTGAACACATTTATTTCCCCTTGGATCCCTTCTTTCATATCCCTGTGGACATTTTTGACTCATTCATTTATAGCTCTGAGGGACCAATTAGAGTAAAGTTAACAATGTCATCCAAAATAAAAGAAGCTTCGACAGGGGTAATACCTACATCCTCTTCCTGTGTGCCAGCCTGGGAAATGGACTCTAATGTCTACCTTGAGACATCATGACAGCTGTTTTCTTTGTCTGCGTTATCTGTTTAATTATTTGCATTTGGTAATATAATACTTCCATTTAGGTCATATAAACATTTCAGAAATTCTGTAGTTATTTAACATGCACATCACAACTTAAAACAATTTAATGAATAGGTCAATTACTTAATTATTTTGTGTCCTATTTTTCTTCTCAAAAAAATTATACTATGTTTCACAAGGAATATTATAAACCTCCCCATATGGAATTGATTTAATTTAAAAAATACATGGTTTGAGCATTTGTGAGGTATTATGGTAATTTTTTTGGAACATCAGGTATATTTGAAAGCACAGAGGTATAACAAATTATTCATCCAGCTGGAAATAACTGATCTAAGATTAAAACTCAATCCTGGTTCCATAGTTGATGCCTTTTATCTTTCTGCTGTGGTAGCTCCTGTGAGCTATTTTTCTGAGAAAAGAAAAAAAAAAGTGGGGGTTGACTTGAAATCCTGAAAAGCTTATGGGCTTTTTGATGAAGTAAGCAGTAAAGAGATATTGCATCAATTAACGTTTAAGTTTCATTTCAGCATAACAAGAAAAAAAAATCTCAGTGAAATAAACCACCTGTTAATGAATGAGTTTCCTATGAGTGAGAGGCTCTAAGTATTTTTCAAAAGACATCTTTTAGAGATATAATAAGAAG